ATTCTACAAATTTATACATTTATCTCCAAAAATTCAGTAGAATTTCTGGGCACATATTTGAGATATACATTTTTTGTAGATAAATGTAGATATTTGTAGATTATTGTAATGGATAATTCACGAAAAAAGTGGTGAATTAACGTATCCAAATATCTACAAAAATCTACTTGGCTCCCCCCTATCTGGAAAGTTTAAAGAAATTCTATTAGTTAGATCTTGAGATAATCGACTTTCGTCAAATATCGTACCAAAACCGCCAATTTGAGATATTTTAATGTGTTTGAAGTCATATCTCAAGTTTGGCACATAGAAATTTGCCCAAACTTGCTCAGATTATCCGTCTTATAAATGAAGAGGCTTGCATATAATGAACATGTTGACATGGGTGCAGAGTTGAGTCTGTACGGAACCTAGTAGTTTCAGTTCCTTGTTTAACTTGCCGTACAGCAAGGACATCCACTACTTTAGCCCGGCGAGGCACATAACTCACTCTACAACTCCATGTCAAATGTTTCATATATTCATATATAGCCATGTAACTATCTGGAAAGTTTAAAGTCAGGGTCAGGATCAGGATCAGGATCAGGGTCAGGGTCAGGGTCAGGGTCAGGGTCAGGGTCAGGGTCAGGGTCAGGGTCAGGGTCAGGGTCAGGGTCAGGGTCAGGGTCAGGGTCAGGGTCAGGGTCAGGGTCAGGGTCAGGGTCAGGGTCAGGGTCAGGGTCAGGGTCAGGGTCAGGGTCAGGGTCAGGGTCAGGGTCAGGGTCAGGGTCAGGGTCAGGGTCAGGGTCAGGGTCAGGGTCAGGGTCAGGGTCAGGGTCAGGGTCAGGGTCAGGGTCAGGGTCAGGGTCAGGGTCAGGGTCAGGGTCAGGGTCAGGGTTAAGTTAATTGTCGCCCACCCATTTTACCATGGAAACATGTAGTTGTAAGCTATATATATATAGTATTATCTATATATAATATTATACATTGCACATCGTTTATTAATTGTAATTAAAGCAACTCATTCAATGTTTTATCTGGCAACAGTTATTATACATAGTGTGCACTGAGTAGGAATGTGAGTATGCATTTTTTGTACTTATTAACGGTGAATCTTAACGTGGGCTGATTTTATTTGGTGATATCAATTATTTCATAGCCAAACTGGGGAAGGTTAAATAAAACAAGTTGTAATCAAATTAAATTAGCTGATAGTAGAAACTTTTCGCAAATAAACTGTGAACAGTGAACACATATAATTTGAGAGAGAATTGATTCGTTCACCGGACACATACATTATACTGTCCAGAGATATTATGGGAGGTTCAAGCTTATTAAAAGATTCTTTGAACTTTTGAAAAGTAGCAAAAATTGAGAAAAATGGATAATCTAGGAGGGGATAGGGAGTTGGTTCAAACATATAAGTAATAAAACATGTTTTATTTTGCAGAATTATACAATATGCATATGTTATCGTCTTCGACTATAAGGGATGATGGGGCGATGACGTGATTATAATTATATATGATAAAGTTCCTTAGTTCCAGGTGGTGACTAATTGAAGATGTGTAAGTGTGAGGATGAAGAATCAGCCTTGATGCATGAGCTGGAAGGGTGAACGAGGTAAAAATATGTACATGGTACAATTTCATAGAAACTGAGAACAAAAATCCTTTACATCAGTACAGACCGATATGCTTGCCTTCAATTACAAACCTTGCTTTAAAAATGATATTGTTATTCAAGTTAAAAGCCTTCGAAGTTTTTTAATAAACTATCGCATGATATTGTATATCAATCAAATTGCAACTCTTAAGTTAACTTGTTGTTTAATTGTATTACTGAGTCATAAATGAACACTTGTAGTACGTACCTATATGGCGGTTGATCTGCAACTTGTCCCATGCTGATGAACCTGATAATTAAAATATTTGTTGTAAATATCTATAATATTCACACTAGATTCTAGACGGCAAAGTTCGAATTGCAGTCGGAACTGCAGAGTGGAGACGTACATTTTGTTAATTTACTAAAGTAACTGGTAAAAACACTTCTATGGAAATAAAACCAGGTTATATAATAAATTTATAGTCTATTAAACTACATCGATAATAGTATATTATATGGATAACAATAATAATAATATCAGTTTCGGCTGCTCAGGTCAAAATCCGAAAACCTATCATTTTATGCAGCCTAGATTTAATGATTCAAATAAGAAGCGCAGTGTTTCTAAAGTAAGTAGCATTTTAGACCGTAGACTTTTACAATAGCTGGATCAGCTGGCTTAAGGAAAAACAATATATGCTCTTCGCATAAAAAAAACACAATTAAAACGAATGCAAAATTTGTGAGTCTACTTCTAGGATGACATATCAAAAATATTTTTAAATAGGACTCAAGCAATCAGGCGTAATCTAAACTAGCTTTATATTAAAATCTCAGCATTTTGATCCAGCGAAAAATTCTATTTGTACCTCGACTCATATGTCATACGAAACAGTACACTAGAAAATAAGGCTCAACAATTTTAACTTCTGAAGGCGGCTCTGTATCATTCTACATTCTGACAACAGTCCTTCTATGCTATGTCAACAATTTTAAAACCTATTCATTCAACTTATAGGATTTCAAGGTATTACACAAGTGGCAATGATGAATCATGGATGATAATTGATTATTGACGAAAACTCGACAAGCAAGTTTGAAACCCAAAGTAAGAAATCGGGATCAAATATGATTGACACGTAACGCGCGCGTATAACATGTGCTTATCCAATGCGAAACTAAAAGTGGTGAAAATGGAAGAATCGACTGTAGAGTGATTTAGCGCGACTGAAATGACGGCACGAGCTACGAAGTAGCGCGCGCCGGGCCAGATCATTAACAATGGTCAACAGAAAGCTTGCTATAGAATAAAACAAATAAATAATATTAGACTATACATGCAGCATGAGTAACTGGTGGATAAGCCCTCGGTAAAAACAGATCCGGAAAAGTCATTGTGGCACTCTGGCCCTTGGTATTGTCGTCGGTATATTGTCCATTACCTACGTTCTGCTTTCATAGTATAAATAATAGTGAGTTCTAAATATATACAGCTTTAAAAGTTTAAACCGACTAATACAGCTTTAAACCGACTATAAGTATGAATGAAATACCTTGATTGACGATGTCAATCCGTCAATCCGTCGAGATTCGATGCGAAGCAAGAATGCTAGTTCGCGCGGCGCGTCGAAACGGCGAAGTCCTCCAAGAAATACCTGACAATCTACACTCCTATAAAAAATTTTAAAAAGCATGAGTAACTCGTAGTGATGTATGATTTCTAGAAACTTTAAATTAAATTTGGCGCTCACAGGTCCTCATGATCATGTGATCGCCGCATGAGGTTCTGTAAATGCGCAGGGCACCTTCGAGCTTATATTATTCACCTTACTGAGGCAGTCAACCAACGCGCGGCTTTATTTTTATGATATGATATGTTTTTGATTGTTATTAATAAATACCAAAATTTAAATTTGTTTTCCTAAAATTTGTTTTCCTAATCTCTATTCGGTTTATGAACATGATAGCCTGAAGTCCCCAGATAAGGTTTATTCAATAATTATTTTACAATTATATGTCACATTTATTAATTACTAGAGCCAACATGTTTTAGAAGCAAAATAATTTTTAATGCAGCAATTTTATTGGAGGAAAGTTAATTAACAATGTCAATTCTTTGCAGCTCGGCGAGACCGCCAGTACACAGTAGCGCATTTTGCCGATCTAGCGTGTGATTGTGAGAAGCATTATTGGTTGCGCGGCGCGGCCCAGTACCACATTACCTGGGGACCTCAGGCTATCATGTTCATAAACATATACATACGCAGAATAGAGATTCGGCGGAATGACAGGCTGAGCGCGGTCCAGTAACTACTATACTTACTAAACTACCATCACATCAGCTGAATTCCTGGAATCGTTTAAATGTAAAAGTATGTCTAAAAACTTTCTTATTTTTCCTATATAGTTCATATTAATAGTAGTTCATATTAATCTGAATAATAATCCTAACTTAAACTATGTTGTAAATGGAGTAGAACTAGAAGTATCTGCACAGTACAGGGAAAAGATTTGGGGGTTATTACCCAAAGCTCCTTGCTTTGGAATGAACAGATAAAAGCATATATTTCTAAAGCAAATCGTATGATCTGCTGGATTGTAAGAAATTTAGTTATTAGAGAACAGGTTGTAATGATAGCTATTTATAAAGCTTTGATAAGACCTCCTCCTGAGTATTGTGTCCAATTGTGGAATCCAGTTGCGGCTCATGGAAGTTGGGGGACTGTTTTGGAGCTGGAGAGCGTCCAGAGGCGGTTTACCAGTCTTATTGAGGAGGTCGGTACTCTTCCATACAGCCGTAGACTGGATCTCCTCAATTTGACAGCGCTGGCAGAGCGGCGAATACGTGGGAACCTTATTGAAGCTTTTAAAGTAACTAGTGGTTTGACTGAATATGGATCGGGTTTGTACAGAATGAGCAGATCTGGTCTTAATCTTGTTTCAACCAATAGATGTAGTAAGAGTTTTTAAACTCTTACTACATCTATTGGCTGAAACAAGATTAAGACCAGATCTTTAGTTAAAACTTTAGTTAAAACTTTAGTTAAAACTTTAGTTAAAACTTTAGTTAAAACTTTAGTTAAAACTTTAGTTAAAACTTTAGTTAAAACTTTAGTTAAAACTTTAGTTAAAACTAAAGTGAAGAATCTCCAGTCTTCTTTTCTATCCATTCATTCAAAACCATATTGGTGTTCTGCACTTACAACTCTATCTAATGAAGCTCTAAAAGTGAAAGAAAGATTTAAGCAAAGATCAACTCCCAGAAACAAGGCCACACTCACTGAAAGCATTGAATCATTCAATAAAGCGCTGATTAAAGAAAAGAATGAATGGATTCGTGAAAGAGTTGAAGCACTAAACACCAAAGCTAAAGACTGCACTCAATTCTGGAGGAAATATAAACGGGTTTTTGGGGCCAAAACTGACAATTTTATCTGCAACCTCAAAGACTGTGACTTGCTGGTCACATCTGAAAAAGATAAGGAAGAATTGTTATTTAATACTTTCTTCACAGGAAAACACCTTCAAAACCAACCCAATGACCAAGAGCACAAAATGCATGTAAATAATGAGTTCAGTAAATTAAAGAATGTTAGCAGCAAATCTGCAAGTAGTTACAATGAAGATGATCCGCTGAATTCATCAAATTTATCTCGAAATTGACTTTATAGTTGTTTCTGATAGCTATAGAGGGTAGTGATACTCGAGAGACTGTGGGATACTGAAGGGAAAGGAAGCAGTTCTAACGAGCGCTTCTCAAACACAAGGATATATCTTGTGAACTTGGCTATTATATATGAAACATTTGACACGGAGTTGTAGAGTGAGCTATGTGCCTCGCCGGGCTAAAGTAGTGGATGTCCTTGCTGTACAGCAAGTTAAACAAGGAACTGAAACTACTAGGTTCCGTACAGACTCAACTCTGCACCCATGTCAATATGTTCATTATATGCAAGCCTCTTGATTTATATCTACCAGCTGCTGGTTGAATTGAAAATCGCTCGTGCAATACAATTACACATGAGCGCTGACCTTAGACCAGCAATAATTTCAGCTAGGAGCAATATTTTTCCATGGAACCAAAAGCTGCTGGTAGATATCACTCCCCTCTATCAGAAAAAACTATAAAGACAATTTCAAAATAATTTTGATGAAGACCCCCTTAACTGTTGACAATTTCATGATGCGCAATATCTACCATGGGAAACTTTTTTTTCGGTCAGGACAAAAGCATTTGAAAATTTAAATCGAGCTCTACAACATATCTCAAAATCTCAAAATTGACCTCGGACTCTCCCTCCCTGTGGCCTTAAAGAGTTCATTAATTTCCATCTTTTATACTTATCACATCTTTGCAGTAGAAACTAAATGAAAAAGTAATGTGAACTGTCACTATCTCAATGGCAAACATTGCTTGGGTTGTTCAAAGAAGAGAAGACGTCTCCAATGTATTGGTGGATTCGATACAGAAACTTGGCGATGCCAATTTGTTAAGGTAAATGAAATTCATTTATTATGTGGAGCAGGTAATTTAATTATTCCTGAAACACAATAACATGAATTGTTTGTTTTTAGTATAAATTTGAAATTTACAAATGCATTCCAATGAACTCAGGGACCAAAAATCAGAACAATATGGAGACTCTGCACGTAGCATTGCTGTCCAAACATCAACACCTGGTTCACCAAGTGTGTCCACAAAAGAACCCATTTCACCTCAAAGTCAATCAATCGACTCATCATCAACAAACCATGAATGTAAATTGCACTCATCCACTCATTTGTTCTAATTGTTTCTATCAAATTATTCAATATCTGAATAATTCATAAACTTTAATAACATCTCCTGACGATAATCTAATTCACTATACGTTTTATTTTATAAAGTTGTATTTTTTTTCATAATAACGATATCTTTCAGGCGGAACAGTTGTCCCCCGATTGGATATTGAGTCATTGCAAAAGCAATCAGTGAGTTTTGAATCTCATGAACTATTGTTATTACTAAATTAATAGATAGATTATTATTAATTATCAGTCAATTTTATTACTTCATTGCTGTAATCTGGAAAATTTGAAAAGTATTTAATTAAACAAATTAAAAATAGCCAGTTGTGGTATAGGTCATTGACCATGGTTATGTCCCGTCCATACAAAATATGTGGGTAAAGTGCCGTAGACAGGACACAGAAAAGCAGAATTGGGTGCGATCATTTTTAAAGCGATCATTTGATATTGACTGTAACTAATTATAATTCTTGCACACCCTCTAGTTGAACTGAAAGAGGGTGCCACAACTGTCTTGTTATCAGTAATTACTGTATGTTGCAGGACGGCTGTGGATCGTTGGGAATACCTTGTCGATATGTTTGCCTGAACTGTGGTAATCCTGTGCCGGATACACCATCCTCTGGGACAGATGCGATTAGCGTATTCAGTGAGAAGGGTAGCATAGTGAGCTTCAGTAAGGGGAGTAATGCCGAAAAAAATAAACAACCATTAAAGAATGCTGATAAAGTATTGGACAGTCCCGAGAACGATCATTCCTCCTTCATCTTGCAGAACCTTGGTCTAAATCCAACCCCTGATGACAGAATGATATCTGAGGTATTGCATATATAATTCAAATTTGTAAATTAAATGGACAATTATTATTATCTACATTGAAAATAAATCATTCAAATAAATCTGGCCAAATCTGCTGATCAGTTTATCTTTAAAACTCTCTTCTGAAAATCATCTAATTTTTTCTAACCTAGATTAATCTTCATCTCCCTTTCTCCCGAATGTAGGCGGATGCAGAATCACTAGAGAAGGGAGAAACAAGTGTTATCAGTATATGTTTAGCAGACCCGGACGATTTTAATACAGAATCCAATAAAACGGTAAGCAAATCTGCTATTTATTTTGGTTTGTTTTCGAAATAAATAAATTAATAAGATCCGCCCTGCGTCAAGTTACTATACTCACAAACGCAGTCAAGGTTCCTGAGGTCTGATTTTTGGGTTTTTGTAAATCTAAGTTAGTTGAGATTAGGAACCGACCGGAATGGGCTTTTGGCTGCCGGACTGGATTTTGTCTGATATCGATCTATTATCCGGTTAGCCGGATTTTGCCGGACCGAAACCGGTTGTTAGGAAGGGCAAATATAAGGTTGCCGGACTGTGCCGGATCTTGCCGGAAAATTTAAATTAATCCTTATTATTGGGCTTTTGTCATTATCAATTATGATATTAATCCTTATATGCCATAGTTTGTAATTACACAATAAGTGTAAGCTTATACGACCAGGCCGATGATGGTTACAGTTTAGGCCTAACAGTAGACATCTAGGTCAAATATCAAATCAACAAGCAGAACGTTGGAACAAGCATAGACAAGTTATTATCATAAATGATATGCGATTGGCATATCCTACCATACCCCTTGAGCGCTATTGCACGTGTGAGACTCAGTTGTTCTTTTTTTTCATGCAGGTCTGAGTATCAAAGCACAATAGTTCCCGATTCAGGGCACATTCAGATACACAATTTTGGACTCGAGGCTTCCCCTCACACTTCAGGGGTGTAGGAAGCGGGGGGGGGGGGCCAACTTTTTTATTTAGGTTTCTAAAAGTTTGTGGGAAAAAAATTGTCAATTTTTTCATGTTTCATGCTACCCTGATCATTATGAGCCGAAAATATTTTTTCGGTTTTCGAAGTCCGCACCTACATTCGGAAGACTGTGGATGTCATTGTTCTCTTATACCTATAGAAAACGTGATATTTTGCCCGCAGATTTGAAGGAAAATGCGCAACTTGTCGCGGACAGGTCCCAGGAATCATTCCAGAGAGTTCCCAAAATTTCTGACGTCAGCAAAATCCACAATTACCACGTCTTGTTTACCACCTTTTTACCACATTGACTTTCCGCAAATAAGTCAACTTCTGAATATCTTAGAAGATTCTAGTTTAAAGTAGTGTGGTTAGAAAACAAAGAAGAACAACTTTTTCTTTACCAACTTTTTAATAAAGAAATTATTTAATTAATTAATTAAATATTTTGAATTGTAGTTGACGAAGTGAGAGTCTCCACTCAGTGTGTTAAAACATAATTGTTTTAAACTAAGTACAACACTACAAATCTATTACATTTATTGAGCTATGTAAGTTATCAATACGTCATGTCTATGACAAAGGTATGTAGCCGAAACGTCGACAAAGAATTATGTTTTAACACACTGAGTGGAGACTCTCACTTCGTCAACTACAATTCAAAATAAATGATTGACCCACTCATAAGAGCAAAAAAATATTACCAATTAATTAAATAATTAGTAAATTTTTTTCAAATATTTCAAAAATATATTCTGATAAAAAATGTTTATAATTACGTAAAACGTATGATGAACTAATTTTAATAAATTTTTTGAACATTTTCACTTTCAATATTTTGGACTAGTACAATTCTCGAAATTTTTAAAGAATAGCCACTATTTACCACTTTTTTACCGCATTGAATCTCCGCTAATAAGACGACTTCTGAATCTGAATGTCGTAGAAGGTTCTAGATTTGATTGGGTAATCAATGATTACCTAATCGCTAATTATGTGACAGGGTGCTAGGATACCGTAATTGGGCTTTCTGCACGATTCCCATAGTGGGGATCTAGTGTCAACCCAATCACCTGATTCAACGTAATGCTCCCGTTTTTTAGGACAAGTGTATTCTAAAGGCTTACCGACAGTTGCGCCCGTTTCCCACACCTTAACAGGCCATTAACAGGTTCCCAATCACGAGTGACGTGATCTGATTCGCCATGTCAGATTCAGATGTAAAAATGTGTACTTAAGACTCAGTTCGTGGATGACAAACGAAGAGGTGTACATAAATTTGTCATTTTTAATACACCATAAACTGTTCGTGGAAGACACCCACTACCCAGGATGCTACGTCTAAAGCCACAGACCCTCCTGCAAAATGTGGAATTAACATTCGATTTGAACGTTTGGAGGGAGTAAAATTACATTATAAATAAATGTGCAAAATCTAAAAATGAAGTTCGGAACATTACAGTAACGTTATTCAAATCTCAAACAAAAAAAGTATATTTCAAAGCTTTGTGTTTTGATCATATGATTATGGGTGTATAGTGATTTTGATTGCATAAATTTGATTGGGCAGTGATGGTGAGTGAGAAGATGATGGGAGTGCCAGCCAGTAACTCTGTCAAATGAACAGCCCACTGAGGAGTGGGTGAGCGCAGGCGCGAGAACGGCAGAGAGGGTGGCATAAAACGGAATACACGGCCACAGAAAAGACACAGAAACTAAACCGTGCGCGGTAAGTTAGCCAGTGTCTGAGAGCTAGTGTTCCCCGGCAGGAGGCATCCAAAAGAGGTGCCGTGGTGAACTGTCGAGGCTAAGTTCGAATGCAAGGCGAAGCAACTCAAACTGATGATGAAGAGGTAGACTGAACGGGAAGTGAAGAAAAAGGAAAAGGAAGGATCCAGCTGAGGTCTGGCTCATGTCAGGAAGTGATGAAAAGCTCACAGACAAAATCATCCGTGGCTGTCTACCCCGTACGTAGGCAGTGTCCGAGATTTCAGGCATCAGGATACACTGAAACAGTGCAGAGCTGATTACGACCAGGGTCCTCGCGGATACCCCGCCTCGGAGGTCGAGCCAATGCCCTGCTTTCGATACTTATGTCTACTGGTGGAACCTTCATATTTTCTCTACTAGCAGTCACTGTAACCCTATCACTCGGAAGGCCCCACAGCTCCTACATGGACGCACGGCCGGGAGCCCATGTAGGGATAAAAGTGAACGCAAGCCTTCCATCACATCCGTCACAGATTCAAAGCTGGGAGGAAAAATGGGAGCTGGAGGAGAGGAAAAAAGAAAAAAGAATACAAAAAAAGAAAACTGAGAAAGGAAACTAATTATCTGCTTTCAGACTGTCTTTGAAGTTGAGGGTTAGTCTGTAGATCTTGTTAATGGTGCTGGTTGAGAGTTTGATCAAACTTACGTCCTCATCACTGGTAGTATCCTTGCAATCAGACTGCGACATGAACGTGGAGGCAAGATTGAAGCTACCATTACCAACATTGTTGAGTAGGTTTCCACTGAGATTTTGAAAATTGTCCCTAGGACCCTTCCCTAGGGGGCAGAAATGGAGCATATGATTCTCGTCCTCGATGAATAGCTGGTTGTTGTTAAGCTCGCAATAGTTGCAGGTCCTTTCATCAATTGGAGTTTGGTCATATCTCCCCCTTTCAATTCTAAGGTGATGCGAACTGGACCGAATCTGTGTGGTTGCCCTTCTGTCCTGAAAAGACCTAGCATAGGTTAGATATGGCTCCCATGCAAATTCTGTTTTGACTTCACTGTAGAATGATAGCTTTCTAGAATCTTTCACAAGAGAACCCCAGGAATCGCGGAACTGTTTTTTCAGGTTCTCTGTGATTAAATCAGGGCTGCAGGAGTCTGCGAGTGAGGTTGCGTTCAACAGCGACGATGAATTCCTTTCAAGAAGGTCGATGTTGTTGAATGATTTGATGATTGATTCGATGCCTACAAACCATGACAATTTGAGGTTAATCTGCTCAGTCATTGCAGCTTTGACTAGTTGTGTAGAGGGGAGGCTCATAACTCTTTTGAAATATTTAGTACTCAGTTTCAACATTTCAATAATGATTGGGTATGAGCCAGTTTCTCCCCAGGCTGTAGCATTGACTGCCCTTCTGTTTATACCAAGAAGGTATTTTAGGTGTCGTAGATGCACTTGCTCAAGTTGCTGTTTAGCGATGTGAGAGACCGCATGATCAAGATTGTGAAACTTGCTGAAGCTAGAGAGGACCTTATTGACGGTGGGTAGAACCGGGGCCCAAACTTGACAGCCGTAAAGTAGAATTGGCTTAACAAGGGTGTTAAATAATTTGTTAAGGCAGGATGCATCAACAAATCTCCGGTTTATAGTGCTTCTCAAGCTGAAGTAAGCTCCAAGTCCTTTACGGTATAGAGAGTCAGTTGCTTGCCGAAATTTCCCTGTGCTGCTTATAATAATCCCAAGATAGCAGTAGCTGGAGACCATCTCGATATCTCTTTCGTGAATGGAAGGACGCCAATTTGGAATGTCTGGTCCTTTGCCATTGAAGACCATGAATTTGGTTTTGGAGATATTGATTTCCAGACCCCATTCGTTACAGTAGTCCCCAATAATCGTAAGCAACTTTTGGAGAGACTCAGGATCTAGGCCGAGGATTACTAGATCATCAGCCCACGCTAGGTGAGTCACTGAAAGTCCAGCGAGTGTCGGACAGTTCGCAGTAGCTTCGTTAAGGAGGTCAGAAAGCTTTTTAAAGTAAACTTTGAAAAACTCAGGGCTAAGTGGGTGTCCTTGTTCAGTTCCTTTAAGGATCTTGAATGCTTCACTTATTTTACCATTCATCTTGATATGACCCTCTGATTTGCTGTACATGTCTTTGATGATGTCGTAGTAGCCACCATTGACACCATAGCAGGCTAGTTTGAACATGAGAGCTTGTCTGCAGACTAGATCGAAAGCTTTGCGAAGATCAATGAACACTGCATATATTTTACTTTTGACTTTTTTGTATTTTTCTATGGTGGACATCAGCGTAAATATATGGTCATTGCATTGGCTTCCTTTGGTAAAGCCTGCTTGGTTGGGTGGATCAGGATGTGAGATTTGGCGGTGATTAACGAGCCGAGATAGCAGCATCGTAGAGAGCAGTTTTCCGATACAGCTACAGACTGCTATTGCTCTATAGTTGTCAGGGTTCCTGATGCACCCTTTTTTGTGAATTGGTGTGATCACACTTTTGCTCCAGAGGTAGACTCCTGTCTCCAGGCACAAATTGAAGAGTTTGAGGAGGAGCGACTTCATATTCATGCTCAGACCCCGGAGCATTTCGTTGCTGATGTGGTCAAAAGAAGATGCTTTGCCCGATTTGAGTTCGCCTAGCGCAGCGTTCAGCTCATCCGATGTAAATGGGCTGTTCAGTGACTCATTAGGGGCAGATCCCTCGGATAGGGCGTTGGCTTCTTCGAGGAGAGCTCTTTTAGTGAGAGTGTCTACGGTTGGATGATTGTCAGAATATAGCTCAGAGTAGAACTGATGGAAAGAGTTGAGTTGCTCCGTTTCAGTTTGGACTTCTTCCTTCTTGTAGTTCTTAAGCTTCTTGAAATCTCTCCAGGATATAGTTTTACCGTTTTTAATCTTCTTGTTAAGACTATTGAAGAAGTCATCCCTTTTCTTATTGACAATCTTTCGATATCCTTTAGAGTTGGCACGATGCCGTGTTTTGATTCTCTGGTTATCAGGATTATTGTCGACAATTTTTATTGACCGTTTGAAAAGGCGTCGTGCAGTGTGACACTTGCCGTCAAACCATGAGGCGAACTTAGGCTTTGGATTCTTAGTTTGTTTAGAGATATCGAACTCTTTTTTAGCGACATCGTTTATGAGTTCTGTAATCTGCCTATTCAGTGCTTCAACTGCCTCATGGGTTTTTGGAGTGGATTCGACATCTTTGGTCAGTTGGGAGATTCTTTGAATGAACTCAGGCTGTTCAAATGATTTTGTGAAGTTGGCTAAACCCTCTTCTGTGATCTTGTATCGAAAGGGAGCTTCCTCGTAGATACTAGTGGGAGCTTGACTATTCCTTTGAGGGGCCCTTCGTCTATGCCAAAGGCTGAGTAAGATTGGATTGTGATCGGAGAACAGAGTGTGCTCACCCACTGAGAGGCTCTTGACACGGTGAAGAAAGGATGTTGATGCAATGAAGTAGTCCACTACGCTGTTTCCGTTCCACTTGTAGCATGTGTATTTTCCAGCAGAGTCACCGATGGTACGTCCATTAAGGATCAGGAGGTTTTGCGATCCACAGAGGTCAAGCAAAAGGTTTTTGTGTCTATTGGTAATTTTGTCCTGGCTGTTCCTATTTTGAGATATAGGTGCCACGTCAGGTATAACCATGAAGTCGGAAGACCTGCCAGTTTCTGGAAAGAGCTCGAATTCGTCCGCTCTGTCATACATATGAAAATCTGGAGCTACTCCTATCCTGGCATTAAGGTCACCAAGAAGTAATAGCTCATCACTGGGGTTATTCTTGATGCTGGCTATTTTTTCCTGAAGGGC